AGTGTATTGGAAAGCTTCAGACTCCTTGGGCAGTATGTTGCAAAGGTTATATATGATGATAGAATGATTATATTAAGGTTGAATAGGACTTTTATTGATATTTTCTTACATCCCGAACATTTGTTACGCAAACTTCCACGTGGAATTGATCTGAGTGAGCAAGATTGCTTGAAGATCATTGATATAATCGAGTCAGTCTATCCATCATTTGGGTCAAACTTACGAAAATTGGTTAATAGTAATAATCTTGACGAAAAAGATTGTATCCCATACGACATTATGACAGGTCGTACAACGTCAATAGTTGGATCCGACGGGAAAAAGCGAGAACAACCATATAGTATTAATCATGGAAGTGATTCAGATGAATGGGTGACGCGTAAAAACTTGGCTCGATACATCGCAATATGTAGAGATTGGTTTTTCGAGCGTGGAATCACTCTACAATCTAAAGCCTTCAAAGAAGGGTTTAACCGGGTATTTCCCATTGAAGTAATGCGGGAATATACCGCGACAGAATTTGCATTATATTTTCTACATCAAGGAGGCGATGGAGATTGGAGCATAGAAACATTGCGCCAGTATGTCCAGCCATATGATGCGAACACAAGCAACGAAGAAGTTGAGAAAATAATCCAAATAATGGCAGAATATGATACGGACAACCGAAAGCGATTTTTACGTTTTACGACGGGAAGCTCGAAACTTCCGATCGGAGGATTTGAAGCCTTGAATCTCAAAGTATTCAGAGATTCCGGTTTGGATGAACGTGCATTACCCAAGGCTCGTACATGTTTCAATAGGCTTATTATTCCACCAAATAATTCGAAAGAGGAATTAGTTAGAAAGTTGGAATTTGCATTTGCAAATTGCCCTGATATTGATCGAGGATAATATGGAGCTGATATATTTATTTTAATAATAATAATATCGTTTTATGTTTGTATATTTATTATCAGTCATTGTAAATTTGATAAATTTTTTGTGTCGAGCGACATCTCCAATCATGTAACATCCTTAAACGTTTAATTTCTTTTTTTTTTTTTTTTTTTGTGAACATTACGCTGCATTCAACAGTATATTTAGGATACTTAATCATATTCTCATATTTCTTGGCAGTTCAATATAATTTCATGAAATTAATCAATTACTTGATTCACACTTTTTAAGATGGGCGTTGTTTAAATATAGAGAATTTTTCTCAAATATTTTAAACAGCGCTCGTATGTCTTTTATTCATCATATTTTTTGCAAACACGTGAGGAAGTAAAATTTGATTTTTAATAGATGTACTATAATAAATTAGAAATGAATATTATAAATACACGTTTTTGTACAATCCACAATTAAATGACAAAAAAAGTAAGTGCTTGAATATATGCGTCATAAAGTTTTTTTTTTTTTTTTTTAACCAGGTTTGTGTATATATCATAATTTTATAATAATCAATCAAAATTTATACTACTTTTCAAAAAAGACGAGCGAATTGACGAATCAATTAACCCCTCGTTTTTTT